TTTTTTTTTTTTTTTTTTTTTTTTTTTTTCACCGAATGCTTGCATGCACAAGGAAGGCTTGCATGCATATATATAAATTGAAAACATCTCTCTCTCCCTCTTATTCTTTCCATTATTTTATTTCCTCAAAAACATTCCATTCCCTTTCTCCAATTTCTAAGAGCAAACTTTCTCTAATTTTTATAAATTCTTTCCTAAATTTTATAAAGGATGGTGGGTTTGGTAGGAGCTGTGGGTTGTTTGTCCACGGTTTGTTTGTTTGTATTATTTTTTTTTATTTTTTATTTTTTTTTATTTTTTATTTTTTTTTTGTGTGGGTTTCTGAAAATTGACACACTAAGATTTTTAACTAATGTATTTAGTAAGAATAGTTATTATATTGAATCCTAATTAAAATAATTTATAAACAGCAAATATTGAACACCCACAAAATTATTATTCTTAATAATGTCTTGTTAGTGATTGAATTGAGTCAATTTAAAACTAACTTTTACACTAACATATAATTCAGATAGACTGTAGACAAAATTAATTAATTAATTAATTAATTACTTTTCTTTAAAGAATAATTAAAAGATGGGTTTTCACAGATCAACTCCTAATTGTTTTTAAAAAAAATTATTAAAACCATATTAACTGTTTATTATTTTAAAAACCAAATGTGCTTTTGATGTAGGGTTACACATATCCAATTAATCTGATTTTTTATAAATAATTTATTCGACGAATTAACGGTTTGGATTATCAAAATAGGCCCAGGATAAACTCTCATGAACCCTCACAGCAACATCCCTCTATCCCCTGAAATCAAGTGTATTTTAAAATTTAAATCCGTAAATTATAGGTGAATTTAATAGATTCTTTATTGACTATAATTTTAAATTTTAATTTTTAATAGTCAATTGATGTTTTTTTCTATTTAAAAAAAATCAAAAATCAATATAATCAAGTTGGGATTTTGAAACTCTTAGAGCTCTCATTGTTATAAACTCCCTTTTATTTATAATAATATATAGATAGATAGATAGACGGATAGATAGATTTGTGGAGTAAGAAAAATAATAATTTAATTTCTACTTCAATCACTTTATTTATTTTCTTTTTTTGTTATAAAAATTGATTTATATTTGGGCGATCTGAGATTTAAGTAAAAATTTGTTAAAAAAAAAAAAAATTTAACTTATATTTGGTAATAATTTTTAATTTTGTTTTGGAGGCCATATTGTCATCAGTTGTGTTCAAAAAATTTGTGAAATGTTAGTTGTAGGATCAGCCGTTCCAACAAGCTTCAGAGCTCTCCAACAGTACCTCTTCTCTCTCTTGCAAACCAGCAACACCGTCAAAAACCTCACCCAAATCCACACCCAAATACTCATCAACGGCCTTTCCCAGAAAAATTTCATTCTTGTAAAGCTCATCTATCTATACATATCTTCAGGTTATATCTCAAACGCCCAACGAATTTTCCAACAGATTGAAAACCCAAGCACTACCGTTTGGAATCAAATCTTAAGAAGCCACGCTCGGAGCGAAACACCGTGTAAATCAATCGAGCTCTACAATCGAATGCAAAGAACTCAGGCCTTGCCTGATGGGTTCACTTATTCTTTTGTAATTAGTGCTTGTTCGAGGTCTGGGTTGTTGAGAGAGGGAGAGCAGATTCATGGGAAAGTAATTTCGAATGGGTTTTGCTCCAATGTGTTTGTTCAAACCAATTTGGTTAATTTGTATGCTAAGGCTGGTGAGAAAGTTGGTGTTGCGAATGCGTGTCGCGTGTTCGATGAAATGTCTGAGAGAAATGTTGTCACGTGGAATTCCTTGCTTGCGGGTTATCTTAGGAGTAAAGATATTGACAAGGCGCAGAGAATTTTTGGTGAAATGCCAGAGAGGAATGTTATTTCATGGACCACCATGGTTGCGGGTTGTGCTCAAAATGGGAGGTCTAAGCAAGCACTGTTTTTATTTCGCGAGATGATGAGAGAGAAGATAGAATTGGACCAGGTGTCAATGGTTGCAGCACTATCGGCTTGTGCTGAATTAGGAAACTTAAAATTGGGGAAGTGGATTCACTCATACGTCGGTGCGACTTTTTGTTTTAGAAACCAACCCGTGCTAGTGTCATTAAACAATGCACTCATACACATGTACGCGAGTTGTGGTGTGGTTGAGGAAGCATATAGAGTATTCCTTGAGATGCCACGGAGAACGTCTATTTCTTGGACAAGCATGATCACGGGTTTTGCAAAACAAGGGCGAGGAGAAGAAGCTCTTCGCGTCTTCCACTGGATGCAATGCTCTGGAGCCAGTGAAGCAAGGCCCGATGCGATAACCTTCATCGGGGTCTTGTGTGCTTGCAGCCATGCTGGTTTTGTTGATGAGGGTCGACATTTTCTCAAGTGGATGAATCAAGCTTGGGGCATTGAGCCTAGGATTGAACATTATGGTTGCATAGTTGATCTCTTAAGCCGTGCTGGTTTGTTGGACGAAGCATACAGGCTTGTTGAGACAATGCCCATGAAGCCAAATGATGCTGTTTGGGGGGCAATACTTGGTGGTTGTAGAATTCACAAGAATGTGGAACTCGCTTCCCAAGTTGCTCAAAAGTTGGCTGTCGAACTTGACCCTGACCGAGCTGCTGGCTATCTTGTGCTTTTGTCAAATGTGTATGCTACTAGTAAGAGGTGGCACGACGTTGCAATTGTGAGACGGAAGATGGTTGAGATGGGTGTGAAGAAGCCTCCAGGCAGGAGTTGGGTCCAGATCGATGGAATCATTCATGACTTCGTGGCAGGAGATAGGACCCACAGTTGTGCATATTCAATCTACGAGGTGCTTGGAGAGATCACCGCACTAACCAAATCGGAACGATATGAGCCAGACAATTTAGACGTTCTTTTGGACATTGATAACTAGGGTGGTTAACAAAAGTTGGTTTTTGCTTCTGGCTTCCTCTGTGATCTCTATATGTGATCTTCTCCAATGTGCAAAATTTATATGAGGTTTTTCACATATGGGTATCAGGGGTTTTGAGTCCTAAAGTATTTCTGATGATGGTGTAAAAGGCTGTGTATTCATATCAACCCTCTCAACTGGTCCAGAGGTTTATCCTCAGAATTTTGTGGATATGAAGAACCATTTTTGGCTCTTGGAAGGTGAGCTCTAACAGAATTGTCATTTTATATTCTAGATAAGAGATATATATGAATCCCACTCTATATAAATTTAATCTCTATCACATAACTACTCACTCAAAAAAAATCTAGATAGATAAGACTAGATTCCAGAGTTATTGATTGAAAAATTAGTCTAGTATTTGATTCCGGCGGGGCGGGAATTGTAGAGAATTATACTAACTGATGAATGCTTGAAGAAACAATGTAACGACCCTTTGACATGATTAACCTTCTCCATTTTGGTAAGTATCTGTAATTATAGGCAACTCTTTTTCTATATGATGATTGCTTACTTGCTGTGAATCAGAACAGCTTTCAATTTTGATGTTAGAATTAATTTATAGAGAAAGAGAGAATAAATTGTATGTATTATGATTGATGTGTTCTTCAGTGATTTACAACACTCTCATTTATAGAGAGTAAATAGGATACATTAGATGCTAACCCACCGAAAGCATAAAGATGCAACATTAGTTATACAACAACATGAGTGGGACAGCTAGATAGTGCAGCTGTATTACATTAATATTACACTAATAATACTAACAGCCCCCCTCAAACTCAAGGAGGATAGGCACAAACCAACTTGAGTTTGGAGAGAGTAACAAAACAGGAAAATAAACTGACAAAAATAAAATAGGATAGGAGACACTGCATGGTCGTGTCAGACCGTTGTAGAAGACATTGTATGGTTGTAGCAGACTGGTGTAGAAGACACTGTATGGCTTGTGTCAGACCGATGTAGAAGACACTGTATGGTCGTGTCGAACCATTGTAGAAGCTAAACGGAATCAATGTCGGGATAGTTTACGAGGTCATGCCGGACCTATGTAGAAGCTAACCGGAATCAATGTCGGGACAGTTTACGGGGTCATGCCGGACCGGTGTAGAAGAATTTAGTGGTGTACCAAGGTGGCAACTTAAGGAGTGCGCCATGGGGTGGCTTGGGTGGTTCCCATGGTGTATAACCATGCTTACCAGCTTTGGTGGTTCGCATGGTGTGTAACCATGCTCACCATGATATATGCAGAATACCTTCCCTTAAACTCAAATAGGTTTGAAGATAGAAACCTATTGGAGGTTGAAACAAATGGATTGATAAAGTGGAGCGGAACAACTCAACACTGAGTGGAGATGTTTAAAAAAAAAGAAAATGGTAGAAAGGTTTTTTTTTTTTTTTGGTGCGTTTTGTTTTGTTTTTTTTGTGGTGGAAAAATAATAATAATAATAAGATAATGGAAAAATGGATGATGCTCACCAACTGAGATGTATAATAATGAAATATTGATAAAAAAGAAAGATAGAAAAAATAAAATAAAATAAAATAAAAGGAAGGTAGTGGGATCAGGAATCTGAAAAGCTCACCAACGGAGTGTTAAAATAAGGAAACCTCGAGAGAGAAAAGGGATGATTTTATTTTATTTTATGTTTTTTTTATGAATGGAGAAAGGAAGATAAAATAAAATAAAATAAATAAAGTTAAGGGTAGTGGGATCAGACTGCGGGTTCCTGGAGCTGTGGGTTGAAAATAATAATGATGTGGGGGTGAAAAAGGAAATAATGTGGGGGAATGGGATAAAATAAAATAAAATATAAAATCAGTGGGGTGGGAAATTTGAATTCACGGCGGCGAATCTTCTGGTACATGGCGGCGAGGTTAGAATCGTCGAAAGGGAGGTTTCCGGTGACGAAGAGGAAGAGGATGACACCGCAAGACCACGCGTCGGCCTTTGCGCCGTCGTAGCCGCGGCGGCGGAAGACTTCCGGGGAGGTGTATGCCGGAGTTCCGCAGGCGGTTTGGAGCATCTCGCGGTGGAGCTGGTTTTCCGGCAAGGCGGAGAGGCCGAACTCGGAGATTCTGGTCAGAATTTGGTCAGAGTTTGCGGCGGAGCAGACCATAGTGGCACCGATTGTAGCCGTTGTAGGCGACTTCTGCCGCTGTGTGTGGCCACGGTACAAAAAGATCGTACCAAGAGTTGCAAACGAAAAATATACTTTCTCAGAGTTGAATAAGTCCCTCTGGAGCTGGAGCTGCCGTGGGGATGCCGGAGCTGGAGAACTTGGCCTCCGGCGAACAAGTTGTGAAGCTGCCACCACTGCTATTTGGGAACAAATTGGGAATGATTTTAAATGTGTGCCCACTTTGGAGGGTCATGAAAGTGAAGTCAAAAGTGTGTCCTAGAATGCATCTGGTACACCAGTCTGTTTGGATTTGGGAAGTACTGCCTGGGAATGAGTTTGAGTGCGTGTCAGTGTTGCAAGGGCATACACAAGATGTTGAAATGGTCCAGTGGCATCCGTCAATGGATGTGTTGGTCTCGTGTAGCTATGACAACACCATCAAGGATTGAGCAGAAGAGTTCTCCGGTGACTGAGCGAGAGCAGCACGGCGGAGTTCTCCGGCAAGCTCGGTGGCGGCAGAAACAAAGGGGTAGCAACAAAATTGGACTGTCTGATCATGAATCAACGCAGATCGTCAAGTGAGTATGTGTAGAAAATTCCAACGGGCAGCGAAGGCAAGATTGCTGGCCGACTGTCCGCTGGCGAGAAAGAAATATAGGCCTAAATCTTCTAGCTCTGATACCATGTTAGAATTAATTTATAGAGAAAGAGAGAATAAATTGTATGTATTATGATTGATGTGTTCTTCAGTGATTTACAACACTCTCATTTATAGAGAGTAAATAGGATACATTAGATGCTAACCCACCGAAAGCATAAAGATACAACATTAGTTATACAACAACATGAGTGGGACAGCTAGATAGTGCAGCTGTATTACATTAATATTACACTAATAATACTAACATTTGAGAAGAAACCAAAAACCATGTATATCAGTAAAAAGTAGTTAAAGGCCACACTCATAATTTTTTTTTTCAGTTCTCAAAATCAAACTTAAGAAAAGCTCCTACTGGCTAAAATAGAGAGAGAGAGAGAGAGAGAGAGGGAGAGTTAAAGGCTCCATCGTTAATTTCTTGCTTAGGCATTGAAAATTTGGATAGTAAGCATCTAGGAAGCATAGATACGGATACGAGATACGAATACGATACAGATACGATGATACGACAAAACCTAAAAAAATAGGATACCAGTACGGGTAGGATACGTCTGTGAAAAATATATTTTTTAAAATTATTAATAGTGAGTTATAAATAAGCTAAAGAGCGTTGAGAAATCACAATGTAATTTTATAATACAAAATACTAACCTTTAAGAATTTTGTATTAATTTAAGCTAGTAGCTTGTTTACTTTTTAAATTTTTAATAAGTCTTGTAAATATTTCATTTCAATATCAAGTTTAACATATTTATATTACAATAATAAAATAATTCACAACTTGTCTCTATGTTTTTTCCCTTGACACTAGAGAAAAATATTGTATTCAAGTTTACTTGCTTATTTATTTATTTATTGATATTTAATTTTACCATTGTTATATGTTTTTGTTAATTCTTACTTTCTATGTAGTTATAGGGGACGTGCATGAAATAATTAGGGTACATCAATTTGATAAATTCTATTATTTAACTCACTATGCTCCTCTTATCGAAGAACTTAACAAAGTTTTAGAAAAATATTCTTATATTTATACTTGCAATTATATTATATTATATTACTATGCAAGAAATGTTACAATTCTAATTTCATAAAACAAGTAAACATGACTTGGAGTATCCGATACTTCAAAATTAAGTATCCGATACTCTAAAATTAATAAAAAGATAATTAAGAAGTATCCGATACTTTTAATAAGTATCTAATATGTATCCGCTAGTATTCAAGAAGTATCGGTATCCGACACAGATATGATATGAATACGTCACCCTATTTGAAGTATCCGTGCTTCATAGGTAAGCATGGAAAGTGGTGAAGCATTACAAAGAGTTATTATGGTATCAATTTCTTATTATCATTTTGGGTAGTCTATATAACATGTGATGAGTCAAAATCTACCGGTTTTCAGATGCTTAAAGAAAAAAGAAAAGAAAAGAAGAGAAAAGAATGAAATGTTCTGTTTGCTTGGGATTCCTTATACTTTATGACCAAATGATTTCACTGATCACTATATCAACCTTTTTTTCTTTTTCTTTCCTTTTGGTTCTGCATTGTCTGACTTGATAGAATTGCTCACTTTCTAATACTTTTCACTATTCAGGTAATGATGGAAAATTCTGTGTTTTCCTTAAATTTTTTTGGAATAAATTACATTGACCTCCCTTAAATTTACCTTAATTACAGGGACTTCTCCTGTAGTTTCAAAAATAACACTGACCTTCCCTACTTTTGAAAATAATACACAGATTCTCCCTTTCCGTTAAAAGAGTATGAATGACGTTAACTAATAGGGTGGATTGACCATAATATCCTTGAACCATATTGTGAAAAGACACAAGTGACCCTTAATGTAAAAAATCCCTCTCATTCATTCTTCTTCTTCCTAGAGTTCACGATCAGAAAATCGGAGGGAGGAGAAGAGTGAGCAACGAAGGAATGGAAGAGAAGATGATGGCTTAGGGATTTTGTTGAAGATCTGCTCCGATTATCTTTCACTGTGCAAAGTGTGAAAGATTTTAATTGATTTGTTTTGTTATTTACGGCTTCCCAGTAAGTTCTCTAACGAATTTGTTCAATATTAAAATTTCTGAAAAACATTATGCAATACGTGGGTTTAGGGTTTACGAATGAAGGGATTTTTAGAGTTTTGGGAGTTTTGTTAGTGTAATTTTGAACTAATTTTTATGGTTTTAGAGTTGTATTTTTTGGTATTTAGGGTTTTTGTGGTTTTTAATGAAATATTGTAATTTTTTGGATTATTCAACACTATTACTTGTTAGATTTAGAGTATAAGAATGTTTGTTAGATTTTGTTCAATGTTGATAGATTTTGTTCAATATTGTGAAAAATGTTAGGGACAATGAGGGAGTGAGACACATTGTGCATCTAGGTAGGATGAGTTGTTCCTATAGAGAGTGAGAGATCTTTAGGCTTCCATGCACACATGCTACGGCTGTTATCTCACACAGCAGAATGAATGTAGAACACTTTGTTCACCCCTATTACTCAAAGCAAAAATATTTGATGGCCAATGGTGGGATTATACATTCAATATCAGACCACAATATGTGGACACTGATAGATGAGTAGCCTTTACAACCACCACCTCTGAAAAGATTGGTAGGAAGACCAAAGAATTCCAGCAAAATGGTTGCTCATGAGCCTCCAGTAGGCACAAGTTAGGCCAAGAGGTCTTCTACTTTGAAATGCAATTGGTGTAAGGAATTTGGGCACAATAAGAGGACATGAAAGAGAGGTCCAATGAGGGATGAAAGATGAGGCAACACTTTATCTGGCAGAGGCATGGGTTCTTCATCTGACAAAGGAGAAGGAGACAGAGGCAGAGGCATGAGTTCTTCATCTGACAGAGGAGGCAAAGGCAGAGGTTCTTCATCTGACAGAGGAGGCAGATCTGTTGGCAGAGGAGGCAACACTTCATCTTGAAGAAGCTGAGGCAGAACTTCATCTGGAAGAGGTATTTCAGCTGGAGAATACACATGTAAGCATCTTTTGTTTTCTTTGCCTTTGCATTTTTTTTTTTTTTGACAAAATTATTTATGTACTAATTTTGGTTTGCAATTTATGTACTAACTCTGGTTTGCAATTCAAGATATTCCAAGAGGGAGCCCTTCAATGCCTACTCAGTGTGACACAAGTCGCAAGAACATAAAGTTAGTGTAGATAACTTCACTTTAGATTTTAGATTTTATTTACATGGTACAGGTTCAAAACTAAGTTGATTTTGTTTTTGTTTTTTGTTTTGTTGTTGGTTGTTTCTTGCAGATAACTTCACTGCTTAATGATGGTTTTTGGATATATGTGTGACAATAAACAGGAACATAATATATAGATAGTGCATAGTGCATACCCCCCTCCTCCCCTCCCTTTTTGTTTATACAGTTAATTACATTTTTAATTCCTAAAATATAAATTTTGTGTCATTTTAATTTTTAATGTAAACATAATGAAGAATAAAGTATCGGAAGCTTTGGTCGGATATCCAAAGCAGAAGGCAACGAATAATAATGGCTAGCGTATGTTATTCTAATTGTCTTTGTTGCTGGTTCATGGTTGGAATATACACAAGTTATTAGGCAACGAATATACTTTTTTGCTTATTATTTAAACTTCACTAAAAATCAAACCGTTTGCTTCCATCTTAGGAAAAATGACAATCCTGGACTCTACCGTATCGCAAAAACAGATTAGGTACGTTATCATTACCTCCCAACTGTTTAACAAAAGTTGGGTTAAGCCCTTGTTTAATTGGGGTATTAATGGTTCGCACACGCAATGCATGTGTAATTCAAATAAGTAAAAATAAAATAAGATATTTATTATATATAGTATACTAGTCAAATGGTAAAAGCCTTTTTTATTTGACATAAGTCCAAGGTTTAAGTCTTCTTCTTTTATCTATCTATTTTTTTTTTTTAAATAAAAAAATAGACACATGGTACTGTAAGAAACCATGGCTTCAAGACAAATCAAGATCTTTTCTTTGAGTTTCCTCCTTGATTTCTTACTTGCTAGGTTATTGGGGCCCACTTTTAGGTCTAATTTTGATGATCCGAACCGTTACATTTTAACATTCGTTGAGTATATCATACATATAAAAAATCAAGTTAATCAGATATCAGTTAACATGTGTTCGGATCATTGAACTAAAAACTATTTTTTAAAAAAATTTAATATACAGTTTTCAAAACACATACGTTCTGATATCCGATCAACTTGATTTTTTACAGGTATGATATACTCAACAAATTTTAAAATGTGAATGGTTTGGATCATTGAAATTGGACCTAAAAGTAGGCCCAATGAGTCAGCAAGTAGGAAGTCAAGGAGAAAACTCAAGGAGAAGATCCTAACTCGCTTCAAGACACCCTAAGGAGCATTCACTTTATATATAATATAGATATAATGAGGATATATATATATATATAATCGTATACAAGGGACAGAAAAACATGTCTCATTTTTTTATATATTCGTTGTTTGAATCCAGAGATATATAAGGTAGCGTTTGGTAATATTTACGTTTTTTGTTTATGTTTACAAAAATTTTATAAATTGATTTTTGTTTATTTTTAGAAAAACATAAATTACAAATGCGTTTGGTTTGAAAAAAATGTTAAAAAAAATTTAAAAATATAAACTTAAAAATATGTTTATTCAGGCCTAAAATATTAATATTAATATTTATTTTTATTATTTATGACAATGAGATCACACACATTATAATTGGAAGAAAAAATTTAAAAATAATTGAAAAAAAAATAATTGAAAAAAATGAAAACAAATTAATTAAAAAAATAATTGGAAAAAACATATTTGAAAAAAGAAATTAATTGAAAAAAAATAATTGAAAAAAAAAATTAATTGAAAAAGAAAATTTGAAAATAAATTATTTGAAAAAAAAAATTAATTGAAAAAAAAAAATTGAAAACTGAAAACGTAAACTCATTTTTTGAGTTTACGTTTTTTTCTCAAATTTATACATTAAGACAATCATTTATAAATCAAAAAAATTATTAAACAAATTTTTATGATAATTTTTTAAATTTTTATAAATATAAATTAAAAATTAAAAATAAAATAATTACCAAACATGCCCTAAATAATAAATATATAGGATATGCAATAACACTCCCTTCATCATACAATGTGAGTTATCATTCTTTTAACGGTAAAAAATAATCAATCTATCTCCTATCCTATCTATTTACTCAAGGTCTCATTTGGTAAGATGGTTTGGGATTAATTAAAAGATAAAATAAATTAAAAAATCAATAAAATAAAATGTCACATTCTAATTATAATCATTATTTTTTAAAAAAAAAAAAAAAATAGAAGTCCATCTTAAAATAAAACTTTTTTAACTAGATTAAAATAATAATAAAAAAAATGACTAAATTAATAATGAGAAAAAAAATAAAATAATTATAGTTTGAAAGTATCAAATAATCTCTTATATTCATTCAATCCGAACAGACAAATAGAACCTATGAGCTATTTCCATTTTGCAAGTTTAGAGTGGGAAGAATGGATTAGGCCAAGTTTGGCGTATTGTAAAAAAGTTAAAAAATTAAAAAGTTATTCAAAAAATTAAAAAGTTAACACTATTCATCAAAAGTTAATAATTACGACTGCATAACTTTCAATCTTAATTTTTCCCTATAAATTAATTTTTATAATTTTTTATTACACATTTTTTCATAAAAAATCAAAAAGTTAACACAAACATCTATATTTTCTTCCTCAATTTTTTAGTCTAAAAAGATAAAAAATACACTTATTCAAAAAATTAAAAAGTTAACACTATTCATCAAAAGTTAATAATTACGACTGCATAACTTTCAATCTTAATTTTTCCCTATAAATTAATTTTTATAATTTTTTATTACACATTTTTTCATAAAAAATCAAAAAGTTAACACAAACATCTATATTTTCTTCCTCAATTTTTTAATCTAAAAAAATAAAAAATACACTTATTTAGGACACCCCAAATAACCCAGTCAATATTCATTAGAGATTTTCAACCAAAGAATTACCAAAAAAATAAAAAAGAAAAAACTAGTTGAATTGTGTTGAATATCCTAATGGGGGCACAGAAGTAGCATACAACACGCCTTCGAATTACGTGTGCATCATTCATTTGGCAATGTTTTTCATTTTCTCCATTGCGTCTGTATCAGTATCACCACCATTCACAAGCCTCCATTCCCAACTTCCCAAGCAAGCAAGCAAGCAACCCTTCTCTCTCTCTCTCTCTCTCTCTCTGTCCTCCATTATATACAATACACACATCCTATTGAAATCATCTTCTTCTCCGCCATTAACCCTAACCTCTCTCTCTCTCGCTCTCTCTCTTCGGAGTTGCTAAGTGATATGGTTTCGAGTAGTGATCGATCGGAGATAGTATTCTTCGACATTGAGACCACCGTTCCGACCCGACCCGGCCAGGGATTCGGCATTATCGAATTCGGAGCCATACTGGTATGCCCTAGGAAGCTGGTTGAGCTGGAGAGCTACTCCACCTTGCTCCGACCCCTTGATCTCTCTCTCATCTCCACATTGTCGGTCCGCTGCAACGGCATCAACAAGGACGCCGTCATTTCCTCCCCCACTTTCGCCCAGATCGCCGACAAGGTCTACGACATTCTCCAGGGTATCTCTCTCTCTCTCTCTCTATACATACATATATATATATATATATATATATATATGTTTATGAGCATGTAAATGTTTTTGGGGTTTTGGGTTTTTTTTCTGGTTGTAATTTTGGGTTGAAAAATGTTAATCGCTTCATTAATGGTGTATGTGCAAAAAAAGGGAAAATCTTTGAGAGTTGTAAAAAGTCTATTCTAATTTGAAGGACAATGTGTTAAGTTTTGATTTGTCGCAAATTCCTTGCCATGCCATTGTATTGTGGGTGAAGTTGGAGACAAAAGATTTATTTTTAGCATTTCTTGCGTAAAAAATGTATTGAAATAAGTGGAAAGTATATGGAAAGGAAAATGATATTTCACCAGAATTTTTATATGCAATTCACTTCTAGAATAATTTCTGTTTATAATGATGGCTTTTGTGTTTTTAAGTGATGCTATCACAACATTTTGTATAATAATTTTGTACAATCTTTTTGGTTTTTATAATGCTACTCATATAGACATATTTAAATATGTATAAGAATGCGTAGATGTGTATTGAAATTTAAAATTAAATTTTTTTTTTTTTTTATAGGGCGGATATGGGCAGGTCACAATATACTGAGGTTTGATTGTGCTCGGATTCGGGAGGCGTTTGCGGAAATTAAACGGCCACCACCGGAGCCGAAGGGCACTATTGATTCATTGGCTCTGTTGACTCAGAGGTTTGGGAGGAGAGCTGGTGACATGAAGGTATAGACTCTATTGTGCATTTTTGTGGTGAATTAGATATTAGCAGTGAAACAATTCAAAACTTTGGAACAATATAGAGGAAGGGTAAATTAAAAAAGAAAAAGAAAAAAGAAGGGTTGTAAATTTGGCAATTGGGCTAAAAGTGTGAATTACACTTACACAATGTGAAATTGCCAATTGTAGAAACTGGGAAAATAGCAATCTGTCTGTGGTGTTTCTGTACATTATCTTTTGCACTTTCAGTTACTGAAATTGAGACTCTGCATTGTATTCTCATCTTTGCAGTCCTATTATTTAATTTAATTGGACATATAGCCCTTGATTGAAATGAATTGTAAAAAATTGTTGATGTAGCTGACCCCACCTAATTGGGACACAAAGCTTAATTTGGTTTGATTAATCTTCTCTGATTTCTATAATCTATTCTATTGTATGGATGGACCAAGGGTTGGGTCTAAGGCTCTATCAAGATGGGTTCTAATCACATGTTGCTTCCTTTGTTTTTATTTTTGTTTTTGTTTTTGTTTTTTTCTTTTCTCTAAATGATATTTTCCATAGCTAATCCATGAGTATGATAATGCAACGTGGTAGGCTTATGAAAATACTACAATTTATGATAATGGCCTACAACAGTTTATGATAATGGCATAAATTTGGTTGGTCAAAACTTTTGAATGCTGATACAACTGTGTTCTTGTATGCAGATGGCCACACTTGCAACTTACTTTGGGCTTGGACAGCAAACACATAGGTACATGCCTTCCCTCCCCCTTAAACATATCTCCACCATTTCCTATTCAGCTATATTTAACAGAATTTAAGTTGAATATTTTAAATTCTTATTGACTATTATACCAGCTTCATGTTGTTGTTCCTTCTCTTTTGTTTTTGTTTTTTCGTTCATTATTATTTTATTTTTTATTTTTTTTTTGGGAGGGGTTTTTTTTTTCATATCTCAAGAGTCAAGTCACATGTTTGAGTTTTCAAATGGAGACTGGTCCTGTATTTCAGTATGTAAATTATCTACAGCCTTTGATATTGTCTGATTTAAAGCCTTCTCTGTTTAAAGTTTGGGTTTTTTTTTGTTGTTTTTTTTTTTCCCTTCTCCCTTTGGTGGGTGGGTGTCTGAGTTTTCTTGAAGCTTTCTTGGTGTTCACTTAAAAACGGTGCTCCACTCGGAATTTCTAAGTCTCAAATTGGTTGCATCTGTGTGATGCTATGCTCTAGTCTAGATATGTCTGTGTGTAACAGATTTGGAATGTCTGTATTTTATCTTTTCAGAATGACCTATAAAATAAACATGCAATGATGGGCTGAATGATGTTTGTTCCGAGGAATTGCAAGCCTGTGAAAAATGTTAGTCTTTTACTCTTGTCAAGTCTTAACATTAAGGTTTGATGTTTCTTCTCTGTGATGATCTCTCAGGAGCTTAGATGATGTTCGGATGAATCTCGAAGTTCTCAAGTATTGTGCAACAGTTCTATTCTTGGTAAACATTTACCTATTCAAGTTTAAAGCTTCCTTTTTACCAAAACAAGCACCACACTCCAATTTGATAATGTTTATTGCTGAATAGACGATGTTGTTGGACCTTGTAATTTGTAAAATAACATGTCTGACTGAGCCCCTAGTTCATTGCACAATTGCTTGCTATGTTTATTATATCATAACTTCCTGGTTATGTTGGTTGGGAATTATGCAGAGTTGATTCATATGACTACATTGCTTGATTGATGATTTAGCAAATCACTAAAATCTGTTCTATGTGTAGGAGTCAAGCCTCCCAGACATATTTACAGCAAACAGTTGGGTTTCTCCTAATGCTATGACAAGAAGTCGTAGTAACGGGAAAGCTTCTCCGGATGGGATGGTCATGAACACACATACATCCTCATCAAGTGCCAAAATTGAAAATCACAAATCATCCCTTACAAATCTAAGAATAGAGGAAAACCATCCAATACTATCTCTTATGACTCCCAACATAGGGGAAGACGTTGAACCCAATACAGCTTCTCCAGACCCTTTTAACATGGGTCCACTTAGTGATGCAGTGCAGAGGAAGCAATCAGATGACACCATGAAAGAAGAATCTGGTTCAGATCCAGATTCTTCTACCACAGTTAGATCTGAGGGCTCTAATGGCTCTGCCAATTTCATAGACCCTGATGAAGTTTCTATACCTTCTATCAATGTATCTCTTGCCCCATTTTATCGTGGAACTCAAAGAATACACATCATGCACAAAGATTTTACACTGCAGCTTTGCTGTTCTCACTTGAAAGTGCGTTTTGGAATAAGTACGAAATTCGTCGATTATGCTGGCCGGCCGCGATTGAATTTTGTTGTGGATGCAACTCCAAACCTTTGTCGGGTTTTGGATGCATGCGATAGTCTTGCACAGAGATTGTCCGTAGATTCTGGTAGCAGTTCTGAGTGGAGACCTCTGGTGACCAGAAAGGCTGGTTTCTTGAACTCACCTACTGTCCGATTGCAGTAAGTTTGTCTTTCTTTTTGCTCTACATGTACTTACTATAATAGCTGGCTCAAAATGCATAACATAAACATGTCAAGTACAGCTTTGTTCCATCATATCCGATACAAACTTGAAATGTTAAGTAACAGATTTGTCTTGTCGTATCTCATTTTTAACAGATGTGGTATGTATTTTTTTTTCTAGCATAATTTATTTACTGTATGCATTACAAAATGGAAAGAGATAATTAGAACACTTGTCTGTAGGAGGCTGACATATTCCCTACATGCTTGCTGATGCGTAAGCTCATGCTTTTTTTGGCTACATACATAATGTTCACACTTGTCTGTAGGAAGCAACCGATTTAGCCAAAAAGTTAAAAAATTACTAAAAAAGCATGTTCCCAAACGAGGCCTTAATGCATTGTTTGTTTGTTTTAATAGAACTTTCTCTATATTAGAGAGTAATGATATACATATAACATATAGAACTTTTTATACAGGATGATGTGGCTTCTATAGTCCCTTCATTTCCAATCAAAACACTAACTATTGTCCTCATAAATTTATAAATGCCATTGAAGCATAATTTTTTGGATGTATTTTCTATACAAACTCTCTGTTTGCAAATCATTTTTCTTTTATTAATCAAATATCTCCCCGCGTTTGGAGGAGGAAAGGGACCCCCCCCAAAAAAAAAAAAAAATTTGTGGCCAAGGCTTGTTTGTTTTCATGCTTTATCTTGTTTATGAGGAAAATGTGAAGAAATTTTGAATCTTATGGCAATTTTAAGGTGGAAAATAGTTATGATCCAAATCTTTGTTGGTTCTCTCTATTGTATTCACAAGAAAACAAATTGCTGGTGGTTAATTGCAAGACTCTTATTCACCCAAAAAAATTGCCAGACTCTCATACTTTCTGTTACTGAAAACGCACCTTTTGCTCTGCAATTTCTCCAGCATACCTACCGTCACAGATGGGAGTGTTACCAGATGGGTCACAGAAATACACGAGAGAGAATTTTCTACCTCCCCAAAAAAGCTTGTGTTTAGTAGATTTGACATTGCAGAACTTGATGCATTGTTCACTCCAGGAACTTATGTGGATGCATACTTCTCCTTGGACCCATACGACTATCAACAGAACGCTGGTATTCGATTGGTGGCAAAAAAGTTGATCATACATTCTAACTGATTGGTCATTTGCCACGTGAATTTGTACCAAGTTTGACTATCAAAATTTGACTTTTGTGTTTTGCAAGGTTAATTGGAATGGAGGTCGATGCTGTAAATGATGACATGTAATTGTAACAGAAAATTTGTTTAGTCAGTGTGATTTTTTATGCAGAAATTGACTTGATGTGAACAAACGTGTTTCTACACTTGTGGTTTCTTTTATAAGCACTTTCTTGCCTAAATTGTGAACAAGAAAAATGTTAATTACACTAAGGTGTTTTCAACTATTAATGAGTGTCACTTTACTTCTCTCATTTATAAATTTATACATATTGACCTCCTTAACTATGAAAATTTTACAAATACACCCCTTGTGGAGATGGTCTGGAGAGAGTAAAAGTGAAACATTTTTATAGTTAAGAGATCAAAATATATGAGATTATAAATAAGAGGAGTAAAGTGATATTAGTTAATAATTGAAGCGGTCTTAGTGTAATTCCCTAAGAAAAAAATTAGCAATATTTGTTAGTTAGTATTTTATATGTAAACGAGCCGAAATGAGCTATGAATTTGAGTTTGGATTGAAAATTTAATGAGTTTTAAAATGTTTAGATCTCAATAGAGTTTCAATTGAACCAAACTCAAGTATTTTTTATTCATTTTTTAATCAGTTTAAAAATGAGTTTAAGTTTAACTTTTCACATAATAATACCATATGAAATTAGATTTTAACAAACAGTTAAATGCGAATAGCACAGTCTGTTTTACTGTCTCGATCCGACACTTTCTTTAGCCCATTTAGGCATTCGCCTAAAGCACCCAATTTTCCTAAACCCTCATATCTTTTCGCTATTTGATCTTTGTCAAATGGGCTCAAAGAACAAAAAAATTCTTCTCATCTTAAAGGCCTCTAAAATTTTTATAAAAGGTTCCTTGTTTTTTAAAAAATAAAAATGAAGGACTATCCCAAAATAAAATAACCCAACAAAATAAAATTAATCCTTATCCATATATCCCCAATAGCAAAGGATGAATAAAATCTTTTTTTGTCCAAAGGTAATATAAGAAAACAAATCTCCATTTCTAGAGACTCAACAAAAGAAAAATACTCATTGTCCAAAGGATCTCAATAATAGAAGTTGTAAACCAATCTTACTTACAAGAATAGATATGCAAGAAAATTAATTAATTTCTCTTAAAAAATTGTATAAAAAATAATAAGTATATTCAAACATTTAAATAAAAATTTTCCTTTTAAAATTTCACCTCAGATTTCCAAAAGTATTGGGCTGCACAGAGCCCCACTTTTGAGTTATTGTAGCAACCCCCATACAACAAAAGAAAAATACTCATTGTCCAAAGGATCTCAATAATAGAAGTTGTAAACCAATCTTACTTACAAGAATAGATATGCAAGAAAATTAATTAATTTCTCTTAAAAAATTGTATAAAAAATAATAAGTATATTCAAACATTTAAATAAAAATTTTCCTTTTGAAATTTCACCTCAGATTTCCAAAAGTATTGGGCTGCACAGAGCCCCACTTTTGAGTTATTTGACAGGTCTGGCCCATGTGTGAATTCCTATTCCTCTATTTAAAAAAATTATAAGATTTAGTAGTTTATATAATTTTACTCAATAAAAAAAATCTCAACAAACAAGTGTACCACTATTAGGTCAAACTTACAAAACGAATTGGTAGGCCAAACTCATGTATGGTTAATTTGCTAACAATTAGGTCAAACCTAACACATACACACTCTTAGAAAAAGAGAGCTAGCTAGCTATGCTAGGATATTGAATTTGTCATTAGTGATTATTCAATAGTCACAAAATATTACATAACATTCCTAACCAATGACATAATATATATATATATATATATATTTTACAAGTAGACTTTTACTTGCCGATCTTTGTATGCAATTGAGAGAAAAAAGATGATGACTCACCTTGTATATGTTGCGATTGGTTAATTCACTGAAAGTACCACGTACATAATGTTATATGGTACTTCAAAATTACCTAATAATTTTCTGTTGTCACATGTGAATTAATTTCTAAAAGAACACATAGGGTATATTGGTGTATGGGGAGTAAATATTCTTGATTTCTGTACTCCTTGCCTCCGTATTCGTCTCACTCCAAACGGCGCCGTTTCTCCTGCAAATACAATGAAGGTGAGCTACCCGGCGGGTGTCTCGCTAGAAAACCCCTTTGATCTTCTAGTTAGCACCTTTAGAGAATATAGGCGAATGAAAGAGTTTTCTGACTCAAGATTGCTTACCCTTAAGAATGAATTCGTAGGTCTTATATAGACAACTTGTCCCATTTCTCTAGGTAGTGCACATTATTCCCATTGTCTTCGGACACAGACATTTTGTTCTCTTATTCCCTTACACGCATGTATTTGTCAGAAGTAAACAACTTGACAAGCAGCAATAACTTGGACAAGTCACAGTTTGTCCCCCATAAACCATTGGGGTGCGAGAAGCACCCAACCGAGCCACCCTTGGCCGAGATAGCAGTAGCTCGGTTAAGACCATAGCCTTCACCCACGAGTCTTGCGTCGTGCTATCACTTAGAGCCCAACCGAGCTATCAGCTTGGTTAGAGACACGCAAGCATCCTTCGCCCTTGTCCTCCAATAAGGGCCCAATTCTGCTCGGTATCACAAATTGGTGGATTTAGCTCGGTCCATATGGATAGTGTCTCGACCGAGATGAGAGAGCTCGATCAGCTCTGTTAGGAAGAGACTGAAGTCCATTTTCAGTTTGGCACAGCTAACCACAAAGCGGTGGGTTAGCTCAGCCCATCACATGGACAGCCGGACCCTTTTTGCTCGGCACAAAACTTCCCTCTCAATTGGAAACACATGGTTATAGTATTGTTATGTTCTAACATGTAGCTATCACATATCTAATGAAGATCAACAATGATATTAAGAATATAATTTATTGTCTAAATTCAATATGTGGATTCCATCATATAGTAGATGAATCTCAACCACATATTGGCTTTATTGAGTGAAGATATTTCCATTAGGACATGGAAGACATCGTGAGTAGCTTTATAAACTAAGGTTTAACTGCTAAAGATATGTATTATTGTATGCTAATACTAAGGTTAATTAAACAGGTCCCTCTGAGTTTTGTATGCATGCATTACATGCAATAGATAAAAGCAAGAGCTTTGTAATGAGCGAAGGTTGGATTCGCAGCAAAGTTAGGGTTTTGCTGTGTGACAACAATCCTCAAAGTTGTCAAGAAATTTTTACACTTCTTCAAAAATGTTCTTATCAGGGGTATTGTTGTCTTTTAATTTTGAGTAGGTTTACATATACAAAAAAATTTCATGTAAGGGAGAACAACTTAAAATAATTATACTTTTGTGAATGTGCAATTCGGAGCAAGCGACAATTGTTTATCATGTTACAATTTTCACGTACACCAATCACATACTCATTTGCATCTCCATAAAGGTATAAGTATTTCAAGTTGTTCTTATTTAAATACACTCTTTTTATATAATTATGGAAAAACAATAATGGCCTTACTTTTACTGAAAGTAATGATCATGAAAGATGATACATTTGATGGACTCGTCGCATGTACTTTCTTAATACTTTTTATAAATTTATTATTTGTATTTAGATTCTCTCATCTATTTATTATTTTCTTTCTCCCTTTCTTACTATTTGCATGGGCAATTTTTTTTTTTTTGGATGAGTAAGTCATATTATAACCAAAAAAGAAAGATATACAATAGAGTTCAATACACATTTTTTGTAGGGAGAACAAAAATGAACAAAAACAAACTACTCCATCAAAAGAAACAAAACTAAGCCTATAGAAGACAAACACAACATTCACAACAAAAAAGATTCAAAATTTTCCTCTAGCACTCTTCAAGTTATGAAGTTTTGCTTTGAGTTTTCTTCTGTTATCCTCCTTTGTAGTCTCCCATTACTAGGATCACTTGGAGATGGATTCCATTTATTTTTTAGGCTCTTCATTTGGCACAACAACTCTTGACTTAATTCTCCATTCCCTAACTCTCCCATATCACACGATTCAAGGACATTAAAGGTATTAGATATTGAGGAGGCAAAAGACTGCGACTGTGTTTGGATTAGTTTTCCAATCACAATTCCACCCCTTCAAGTGAGCAACGCATTTGGATGGGATTTTCAAAAATTAATTCCACTACACATTTCAAAATACATTTCTGTTTCATGTTTGGCTGAGGTACTTTCAAAACAAACTTTCAAGCGAAGCTCTCACTTTTTCATACAATTTTTGAATTTTTTAGTCTACCAATTGTCCCCCGAACATCCTCCCGAATGTCCGGCTGGTTGACCACTACATTTTTTTTTGGTGACGTAGGAGAGGCAGTCGGCCATGTTGAGGACCAGGATGGAGCAAATCGACCGCCAGCGTCGAAGCAGATTGGTCCTCACTTTCGTAGTTACGATTTTGCGATCGATATCGATCTTCATCGTCATCATCACCAGTGAAAATAAGGGCAGAAACCTTGAGCTTTCTCATTGAAGAAGAAGAAGATGGTGAAAGTGGCGACTTACTTCACGATGACACTCGGTGCCTTTGTCTTCTGGCAGTCCATGGACAAGATCCATGTTTGGATCGCTCTTCACCAGGATGAAATGTTCTCTCTCTCTCTCTCTCTATATATATATATATATGTCTATATAAGTAACACGATGAAGAGGATTCAATCATATTTAAATTGCAGTGGATTGGGGGTTTTGATGTGAAGACCATATATACATAAATTGGGAAAATTGTGAAGAGTAATATTAGATTTAAACATATCAACTATTAAAACCTTTTAAATATACAATTAAAAATTATTTTAAAGTAGTAATTAAATATTTATTTTGAAAAAATATATATTTTCTTTGTAATATTTTCAATTAGAAAAATTGATTAATGTTATTTTTTGTTAATAATTAATTTTTAATTGAATTTTAAAAATAATTTGCTTATAAGTGTAGTTCAGAATTTTCAATAGAGTTTTAAGTAATGTGTTTGGTTATGAGTTATAACAATTTGAATTAAGTTTTGAAAACTCTTTTCAAAATTCATAACCAAACAAATTTTCTTATTTTACATGTCACATCAAACATTAAAATGTCACATCAAACATTAAAAACTTAATTCAACACTTAACTCAAAACTTAATTCAA